TGGTAGTGGTGGAGTTGGTAGTGGTGGAGTTGGTAGTGGTGGTGTTGGTAGTGGTGGTGTTGGTGGTGGTGGTGTTGGAGGTGGTGTTGGTAGTGGTGGTGTTGGTAGTGGTGGTGTTGGTAGTGGTGGTGTTGGTAGTGGTAGTGTTGGTAGTGGTGGTGTTGGTAGTGGTGGTGTTGGTAGTGGTGGTGTTGGTGGTGGTGTTGGTAGTGGTGGTGTTGGTAGTGGTGGTGTTGGTGGTGGTGTTGGTAGTGGTGGTGTTGGTGGTGATGTTGGTAGTGGTGGTGTTGGTAGTGGTGGTGTTGGTAGTGGTGGTGTTGGTAGTGGTGGTGTTGGTAGTGGTGGAGTTGGTAGTGGTGGAGTTGGTAGTGGTGGTGTTGGTAGTGGTGGTGTTGGTGGTGGTGGTGTTGGTGGTGGTGGTGTTGGTGGTGGTGGTGGTGTTGGTAGTGGTGGTGTTGGTAGTGGTGGTGTTGGTAGTGGTGGTGTTGGTAGTGGTGGTGTTGGTAGTGGTGGTGTTGGTAGTGGTGGTGTTGGTAGTGGTGGTGTTGGTAGTGGTGGTGTTGGTAGTGGTGGTGTTGGTAGTGGTGGTGTTGGTAGTGGTGGTGTTGGTAGTGGTGGTGTTGGTAGTGGTGGTGTTGGTGGTGGTGTTGGTAGTGGTGGTGTTGGTGGTGGTGTTGGTAGTGGTGGTGTTGGTGGTGGTGTTGGTAGTGGTGGTGTTGGAGGTGGTGGTGTTGGTAGTGGTGGTGTTGGTGGTGGTGGTGTTGGTGGTGGTGGTGTTGGTAGTGGTGGTGTTGGTAGTGGTGGTGTTGGTAGTGGTGGTGTTGGTAGTGGTGGAGTTGGTAGTGGTGGAGTTGGTAGTGGTGGTGTTGGTAGTGGTGGTGTTGGTGGTGGTGGTGTTGGAGGTGGTGTTGGTAGTGGTGGTGTTGGTAGTGGTGGTGTTGGTAGTGGTAGTGTTGGTAGTGGTGGTGTTGGTAGTGGTGGTGTTGGTAGTGGTGGTGTTGGTGGTGGTGTTGGTAGTGGTGGTGTTGGTAGTGGTGGTGTTGGTGGTGGTGTTGGTAGTGGTGGTGTTGGTGGTGATGTTGGTAGTGGTGGTGTTGGTAGTGGTGGTGTTGGTAGTGGTGGTGTTGGTAGTGGTGGTGTTGGTAGTGGTGGAGTTGGTAGTGGTGGAGTTGGTAGTGGTGGTGTTGGTAGTGGTGGTGTTGGTGGTGGTGGTGTTGGTGGTGGTGGTGTTGGTGGTGGTGGTGGTGTTGGTAGTGGTGGTGTTGGTAGTGGTGGTGTTGGTAGTGGTGGTGTTGGTAGTGGTGGTGTTGGTAGTGGTGGTGTTGGTAGTGGTGGTGTTGGTAGTGGTGGTGTTGGTAGTGGTGGTGTTGGTAGTGGTGGTGTTGGTAGTGGTGGTGTTGGTAGTGGTGGTGTTGGTAGTGGTGGTGTTGGTGGTGGTAGTGGTGGTGTTGGTGGTGGTGTTGGTAGTGGTGGTGTTGGTGGTGGTGTTGGTAGTGGTGGTGTTGGAGGTGGTGGTGTTGGTAGTGGTGGTGTTGGTGGTGGTGGTGTTGGAGGTGGTGGTGTTGGTAGTGGTGGTGTTGGTAGTGGTGGTGTTGGTAGTGGTGGTGTTGGTAGTGGTGGAGTTGGTAGTGGTGGAGTTGGTAGTGGTGGTGTTGGTAGTGGTGGTGTTGGTGGTGGTGGTGTTGGAGGTGGTGTTGGTAGTGGTGGTGTTGGTAGTGGTGGTGTTGGTAGTGGTAGTGTTGGTAGTGGTGGTGTTGGTAGTGGTGGTGTTGGTAGTGGTGGTGTTGGTGGTGGTGTTGGTAGTGGTGGTGTTGGTAGTGGTGGTGGTGGTGTTGGTAGTGGTGATGTTGGTAGTGGTGGTGGTGTTGGTAGTGGTGGTGTTGGTAGTGGTGGTGTTGGTAGTGGTGGTGTTGGTAGTGGTGGAGTTGGTAGTGGTGGAGTTGGTAGTGGTGGTGTTGGTAGTGGTGGTGTTGGTAGTGGTGGTGTTGGTGGTGGTGGTGGTGATGTTGGTAGTGGTGGTGTTGGTAGTGGTGGTGTTGGTAGTGGTGGTGTTCGTAGTGGTGGTGTTCGTAGTGGTGGTGTTGGTAGTGGTGGTGTTGGTAGTGGTGGTGTTGGTAGTGGTGGTGTTGGTAGTGGTGGTGTTGGTAGTGGTAGTGTTGGTAGTGGTGGTGTTGGTAGTGGTGGTGTTGGTAGTGGTGGTGTTGGTGGTGGTGTTGGTAGTGGTGGTGTTGGTAGTGGTGGTGTTGGTGGTGGTGTTGGTAGTGGTGGTGTTGGTGGTGGTGTTGGTAGTGGTGGTGTTGGTAGTGGTGGTGTTGGTAGTGGTGGTGTTGGTAGTGGTGGTGTTCGTAGTGGTGGTGTTGGTAGTGGTGGTGTTGGTAGTGGTGGTGTTGGTAGTGGTGGTGTTGGAGGTGGTGGTGTTGGTGGTGGTGATGTTGGTAGTGGTGGTGTTGGTAGTGGTGGTGTTGGTAGTGGTGGTGTTGGTAGTGGTGGTGTTGGTAGTGGTGGTGTTGGTAGTGGTGGTGTTGGTAGTGGTGGTGTTGGTAGTGGTGGTGTTGGTAGTGGTGATGTTGGTAGTGGTGGTGTTGGAGGTGGTGGTGGTGTTGGTGGTGGTGGTGTTGGTAGTGGTGGTGTTGGTGGTGGTGATGTTGGTAGTGGTGGTGTTGGTAGTGGTGGTGTTGGTAGTGGTGGTGTTGGTGGTGGTGGTGTTGGTGGTGGTGTTGGTAGTGGTGGTGTTGGTAGTGGTGGTGTTGGTAGTGGTGGTGTTGGTAGTGGTGGTGTTCGTAGTGGTGGTGTTGATAGTGGTGGTGTTGGTAGTGGTGGAGTTGGTAGTGGTGGAGTTGGTAGTGGTGGTGTTGGTAGTGGTGGTGTTGGTAGTGGTGGTGTTGGTAGTGGTGGTGTTGGTAGTGGTGGTGTTGGTAGTGGTGGTGTTGGTAGTGGTGGTGTTGGAGGTGGCCGCGTGCGGGAATCGAACTGCGCCCCGTTTCGTCAAAGCCGTCGCGCTAACCTCTGCGCCACCACTCCAAACATCCAAATCTCGCCCGGCCCGGCCGGTGATCTCTCAACTAAGATGAGCAATAAATAAAGAAATGGTCACTGGGCCACGCCTGGCGATGGACGTCCCCTTCCCATACCTGGGCGAGCCTGCGGCAGCAACCGGACAGCCCTCACCTCGGCCGGGCAGGCTGCGCTTGCTGATGGGGGGGGGGTCCCTGTGGCAATTATCGTCTGGGTTGGGCTGTCAAATCGTCGGCGGTACATTTTTAATGAAATAACGACGCCTTGAGTCATTGAGCCGAAATAGGGCCATCATTTATGTCGACTGTGAACTTGTAATTCGACAGAGAGAGAGAGAGGGAGGGGGGGGGGGGATCACTCGTAGAAAGAGAGAGGACGACTTAGAGAGAGAGAGAACGACTTGGAGAGAGAGAGAGAGGACGACAATTAGCTATGATTAGTGATAGCCAAGTTGCTTCTGAAAAATACCTTTCCAGATCAGTGGGCCTTACCTGGTAAAATATATTTTTTTTAAAGTTCAGTTTGTGTGAACATCTATCGCAGCAAAAACAAATCTGATCTTGAACCGCCACCCCCCCCCCCCCCCACCACGGGGAGAGAGAGAGAGAAGAGGTAATAAATAAATAAATCTGTGTCGGCCAGCACCTACCCCCCTCCCCCTTCTCACTCACGGGGGGCCCCCGGTGCAGTTACACCGCCTGCACCACTCTCTCACCCGCTCAAACCCACCACCGCCACCCCCCACCACCACCACCACCACCGCCCACCACCACCGCCCACCACCACCGAAATCGCATCTCAAAAGATCTGGCGATGCTGCTGTTGACATGACAGTGGTGAACAAGCAGACAACAACAAGCACCACCACCAAACATGTTCCTTTGTCAACAACAGCACTGCATGCCTGGCCTTAGAAAGGGAAAAATATATACATAACAGGCGACGTCACGGGCAATGACCCTACTTCAGGAGCACATACAAACTGATAGCCTGCAACACGGCCACTGTGAACCTCCTGAGTGAACACGAGGGAGACGCACCACACAAACCCAGGATACCGCTCGTCCATATCAACGCCTCCGACATGGCCATTATGAACAGAGAGAGAAAGAGTAAATAGACACCTATACTACCCAGGGCTCGAACCCAGGTACCATCCCCAGATTCAACCACTGTGATAGGCGAATGAGTTAGTAAGAGAGAAAGGCTCACGACTGAAATATCGCATCATCTCACCTCATCCGTACCAACCCAAACGCCACCGACAACACAAGGCCACTGCGAACCTCACAGACCCCCCCCCAATCACAACACCTCTGTCTCTCCATCTCTCTCCATCTCTCTCCATCTCTCTCTCCATCTCTCTCTCTCTCCATCTCCCTCCATCTCCCTCTCTCTCCATCTCTCTTTCCATCTCTGCATCTCTCTCGCCCTCTTAATCTCTCTCGCCCCTCTCCTCATCGCTCTCTCTCCATCTCTCTCCATCTCTCTCCCCATCTCTGTCTCTCTCATCGCTCTCTCTCCACCTCACCCCCCATATCTCTCCACCTCTCGCTTGCTCTCCACCTCTCTCTCTGTCTCTCTCCTCATCGCTCTCTCTCCACCTCTCTCTCCACCTCTCTCTCCACCTCTCTCTCCACCTCTCTCTCCACCTCTCTCTCCACCTCTCTCTCCACCTCTCTCTCCACCTCTCTCTCCACCTCTCTCTCCACCTCTCTCTCCACCTCTCTCTCCACCTCTCTCTCCACCTCTCTCTCCACCTCTCTCTCCACCTCTCTCTCCACCTCTCTCTCCACCTCTCTCTCCACCTCTCTCTCCACCTCTCTCTCCACCTCTCTCCACCTCTCTCCACCTCTCTCCACCTCTCTCTCCACCTCTCTCTCCGGCTCTCTCTCCGGCTCTCTCTCCGGCTCTCTCTCCATCTCTCTCTCCACCTCTCTCTCCACCTCTCTCTCCACCTCTCTCTCCATCTCTCTCCACCTCACCTCATCGTCCTTCTCCACCTCCAGGCCCGTGTCCATCAAATTCTTCTCGAACTCTTCCCTCCTCCTCTGCTTCGCCTCCTCGTTCACCTCCTCCGCCGTCGCCGCCTCCTCCTCCCGGGAAGCGGCGGCGCCGGCGGCACCCCCGGGCAGCCGGCGGGGCCTCGCGTCCCTGCGGCCGCCCGCGGGGAGGCCCTCGCCGCCGCCGCCGCCACCGCCGCCGCCATCGTCGTTGTTGTTGGGGCCCAGGCCGCCACGCTTCTTGTAGTTGTAGGCGAGCACGAAGTCCACGCGCCGCCTGCCGTCGCTGAAGTAGGGACGCCGCTTCGGGTCGCTGGGCACCTCCGCCACGAAGCTGTTCAGAACCTGGTGGGGCGGAGAGGGGCGGGGGGGGGGGGGGGGAGGTCAACGTAACTTTTATGTTACCGGCTAAGGGCCCTCCCTCTCTTCGCACACCGAGCTGTACTCCTCAACGCCTTTTCAGCAGCGACCACCAGGGCCCGTCACCGAGGATAGCTCCAACGGAGCGGCGGCCGAGGTCGTCACGGTGCGGGAGAGAACTCTCTCTGAAAAAAAACGCGACGGTCGATTCCGCATGGGGAGGGGGGGGGGGGCGGGTAGGGGGAACCGGAGGAGGACCCGGAGAAAAATCCACGCGACCACGGGGAGAGGGACACGCAAACTCTAAATAAACCAAACTGCTCAACTGTTTTTTGTTTATCTCGCCGGGTAAGCGCCTATACTTACGGAGCTACTTGCCGCTTTTTCAGAAGCGACCCCGGCCGTCACAAGCGACGGCTCCAACGGAGCGGCGGCTTCTCGTTGTCGTCGTGTGGAGATTCACAGCAGCAGCCAAATACATCGAAGCGGAGTGACGTTGATTGTAAAATGCGGGGGGGGGGGTTGGTGGGGGACCGGACGAGGACCCGGAGAAAAATCCACACGACCAACACGGAGAGAGAGAGAGACGCAAACTCCAAATATACAGCAGGCAACAAAAGTCGATATCGAACCCACGACCATCCTGTATACCCGGCGAGGTAGATAACATCTCCTAGCCACCGCAGTGATGATGAGAGACAGAGAGAGACACGTGAACTCCAAATATACAAGCAGGCGTTAGCGTCGGTATTGAACCGACGACCTGCTGTATAACAGGCGAGGAAGTTAACATCTCCCGTAATGATGATGAGAGAGAGAGACACGCGAACTCAAAATTACAGCAGGCGTCAGGGTCGGTATCGAACCCACGACCTTCCGTGGGCTGCTCTGTGTGTGTGGGACCAGAGTGTCACTTGAAGACCTGATGATCTCAGAGGTAACTCTATGATAACCACTTCCGTGGGCCGCTCTGTGTGTGTGGGACCAGAGTGTCACTTGAAGACCGGATGATCTCAGAGGTAACTCTATGATAACCACTTCCGTGGGCTGCTCTGTGTGTGTGGGACCAGGGTGTCACTTGAAGCCGGGATGATCTCAGAGGTAGCTCTATGATAACCACTTCCGTGGGCTGCTCTGTGTGTGTGGGACCAGAGTGTCACTTGAAGACCGGATGATCTTCAGAGGTAACTCTATGATAACCACTTCCATGGGCTGCTCTGTGTGTGTGGGACCAGAGTGTCACTTGAAGACCGGATGATCTCAGAGGTAACTCTATGATAACCACTTCCGTGGGCTGCTCTGTGTGTATGGGACCAGAGTGTCACTTGAAGACCGGATGATCTCAGAGGTAACTCTATGATAACCACTTCCGTGGGCTGCTCTGTGTGTGTGGGACCAGAGTGTCACTTGAAGACCGGATGATCTCAGAGGTAACTCTATGATAACCACTTCCGTGGGCTGCTCTGTGTGTGTGGGACCAGAGTGTCACTTGAAGCCGGGATGATCTCAGAGGTAGCTCTATGATACCCACAACTTCCACGGGCCGCTCTCAAAAAACCACAACGACAACGCGGAGTTTGTCACCCTCCGTCTCGCGAAGGCATCGCCCGGTCGCCCCGTCAACGTCTCCTCAATCGCGACGCCGGTTTACCAGCCCCTCCCCCCGTACCGCCCACGCCGAGGAGGAGGGGTGGGGAGGGGGGCACCCCTCACCAGCCCCCCACCCGAGGAGTCGCTCCCCCAGCCCCCAGATACGATCTGCACACTCAGCGCCACGGCTGAGAAACACACAGACACACAAACAAACAAAGACAAAGATCCACCGTGTAGCCTTAACAGACTGTTGGGGCACGTGCTGTTAAGCGAGCACCTATGAAGGCCGGAACGGTACGCATGGGGGTGGGTGGACAGCACCACGCCCGGCCGCCTTTGTCTCCCCAGTGGCGATGTTTAAGCACCGCACCAAGTACTCATTTGAGGCCGAGACGACCTAGGGGAGGCCCAGAACCGGTTCAGATAATCGTCACTGGTGGTGGCCGTGAGCGGGAATCGAACTCGGGTCGCCGGATTCATAGTGCAGCGCGCTAACCACTACACACACGCACGAAGTGTGTGTGTGTTTTTGTCCAAGTAATAATAAAACAACAATAACAGTCGGCTTGGCGCGATGTATCGCCGCTGCTTCTGGACAGTGTTCGCTCGCTCTCGCGCAGAGAGAGAGGAGACGACTCGGGGGGGGGGGGGGGGGGAGAGAGAAAGGACGACTGGGAGAGAGAGAGAGTCCATAACTCGAAGAGAGGATGGCTAGGGGCGATAGGTATTCATTTAAGGCTGAGTCGACCTAGCGGAGGTCCAGGACCCTTTTCAGATGTTCATCACCAATATTGGCCATGAGAGTGGGAATCGAACTCGGGTTGCCGGATTCGTAGTGCTGTGCGCTAACCTACTACACTATCTCCACCTCCACCATCTCCACCATCACCACCACCTCCACCACCTCCACCAACGCACCCCATCCCCTCCACCAAATCCCGCAGCTGCTGCTCTGCACAATCGGCCCTCAGTCCCATCCCACCACCTACTTGTAGACAACGTGAACTCAACTCGGATCAGAGTCGACGTGAGGACAACGTGAACTCAACTCGGAGGAGAGGGCAAACTCCAACACCCGTGAACTCAAACCGTGTCCATTTTTGGCATTCCTCCCAAACATTTTTTTGTAAACCTTGATGGGGCAGCGTTTCTTGTTTTACTTTTTCTGACTCACATCCGGATATTTCGAATGGTTTCCGAATCCCAGCAAGATATCGGCTTCCAAAACAACAATCCCCACCGGTCCATCAGTCAATCGAATCGACAGCCTTGATGAAGGGCCTCCTCCTCCCTTCTCCCCTACACCACCACCACCTCTCATGGTCCTTTCGTGCCGATATACAGGGTGGCCCAGAAGTCAGGACACATAGGGGCATTGTTATACTGGGTTGCCCAGAAGTCAGGACACATAGGGTTGTTATTATTGTTATACAGGGTGGCCCAAAAGACAGGACACATGGGGGCATTGTTATACAGGGTGGCCTAGAAGTCCGGACACATAGGGGTATTGTTATACAGGGTGGCCCAGAAGTCAGGACACATAGGGGTATTGTTATACAGGGTGGCCCAGAAGTCAGGACACAAAGGGGTGTTGTTCTACAGGGTGGCCCAGAAGTCAGGACACATAGGGGTATTGTTATACAGGGTGGCCCAGAAGTCAGGACACAAAGGGGTGTTGTTCTACAGGGTGGCCCAGAAGTCAGGACACATAGGGGTATTGTTATACTGGGTGGCCCAGAAGTCAGGACACATAGGGGTATTGTTATACTGGGTGGCCCAGAAGTCAGGACACATAGGGTTGTTATTATTGTTATACAGGGTGGCCCAGAAGTCAGGACACATAGGGTTGTTATTATTGTTATATAGGGTGGCCCAAAAGTCAGGACACATAGGGTTATTATTATTGTTATACAGCATGGTCCAAAAGTCAGGACAAATAGGGTTGTTTTTATTGTTATATAGGGTGGCCCAAAAATCAGGACACATAGGGTTATTATTATTGTTATACAGCGTGGTCCAAAAGTCAGGACAAATAGGGTTGTTATTATTGTTATATAGGGTGGCCCAAAAGTCAGGACACATAGGGTTGTTATTATTGGTATACATGGTGGTCCAGAAGTCAGGACACATAGGGTTATTATTATTGTTATAAGGGTGGCCCATAAGTCTGGACACATAGGGTTGTTATTATTGTTATACAGGGTGGCCCAGAAGTCAGGACACATAGGGTTGTTATTATTGTTATACAGGGTGGCCCAAAAGTCAGGACACATAGGGTTGTTATTATTGTTATACAGCGTGGTCCAAAAGTCAGGACAAATACGGTTATTGTTACAGGGTGGCCTAAAAGTCAGGCCATAGAAGTGAGACATAGGAGAGCGAGAAGGGAGGTCAGTGATGTAAAGGAGATGCAGAGAGAGGAGAGAGGCATTACGAGAAATGAGTGAGTGGAGAGTTGGGCGGGGGGATATGGGAAGAGCCGAGACAGGAAAAAAAATATTTGAGAGACAAAGAGGAGAGACAAGCAAAGTTCGATCGGAACAATACAGAGACCGAGAGACAGACAAGGCCACAGACATGGTGGAGAGACAGAGATTGAGATGAGACGGAGAGGGTAGATCGTGAGAGAGGAGAGGAACTCTCTCCGTGATTTACAGCTCTCTCCCACCTCTCTCCCCACCCTCTCCCCGCCCTCTCCCCGGGCTCTCCCCGGGCTCGCACAGCGCGTGCCTTTACATGGCTCTGTGACCCCCGCGGGGGAGATTTGACTTAAAAGGGAAAAACACGGAGGGAGTGAGAGACGCAGAGAGACCCCGGCTCCCCCACCCGGCTCCTCCGCCCGGCTCCCCCGCCTGGCTCAGAGTGATCTGACTCCGCTGTCACAGTGCCTGACATAGAGGACACAGGGTTTGTCTAACACAGCACCTGGTACAGAGACACAGGGCCTGACACAGCACCTGACACAAAGACTCAGCACCTGATACGGAGACACAGGGTTACTCTAACACAGGGTTACTCTAACACAGCACCTGGTACAGAGACACAGGGCCTGACACAGCACCTGACACAAAGACTCAGCACCTGATACGGAGACACAGGGTTACTCTAACACAGGGTTACTCTAACACAGCACCTGGTACAGAGACACAGGGCCTGACACAGCACCTGACACAAAGACTCAGCACCTGATACAAAGACACAGGGTTACTCTAACACAGCAGCTGACAGAGACGCAGGGTCTAACACGTCCCTGCAACAGGTTTGCTGTTCACGGGAGATAAGAGACTCCACTCTCAAGCATCGTGCCGCACACCAAGAGGGACCTGGGTTCGATTCCCGACGTGGGGCGCCGTTCGGCAATGGGGTTGTTTCACTGCTCGGAGCGTGATTGC